GGGGGGGGGGAGAAATGGCTGCATTTAACAACATTACACTATATTAGCAGAACTATATAAGCAGAACACAAAGAGCTTGTAAAGGGGGAAAGGATCCAGCAAAGCAGAAGAGTGAGAAGATGCACAAAAGGGGAGTGAGAAGATGCTCTTAAAAGAGAGAGAGAGAGCGAGCCCTGCCTGCAAAGCAAAGAGCTGGCAATCAAAAGAGAAAGGAAGACAAGCACCCCATATGCACATGATATATGATGCCCACATGAAATATATGATATACTGTCCCCATTTTCACACGATACATAACATATCGCCCCCCACTTGCATATGATCTCTCTCTCTCTCTGAAAAGTAAGGTATCTCCACTCGCCCACCACCCCCTTTGTGGGTCTCTGCAAGGCGCCCCTCAACCCCTTTAAGGTGGGGGTGGGCATCGCCACCTGCTGAAACTCACCCTACTCAGGGGGCCTTCATTCTCATACACACAGAAACTCACACACTCAGACACACACAAACGGCGGGTTGTGGCGTGTAAGCACACGCCTCCCTCCCAGGAACTGAGGGAAGGGAATGAGACGGCTCGCCTTCTCATCTGACAGCCCCAAGGGCCCTCCCCCCTCACGGACGCCCCACCCCGAGGCGAGGCATTCACACGCAAACACACGCAGACACGGGTGTGAGAGGGGGCGGGGAGGGGGCCCCCTCCCTGCACGTGGGAATCCGCCCCCTCGCTCGAGGAAGGGGGACCCCAGCCCCGGCGGCCGGTCACCTTGGGCCGAGAGCTGCCTGACGCTGTTGACGAACTGCTCCAGGGCGGACGCCATCTTGGCGGCGGCGGCAGAAGGAGGAGGAAAAAAGCGGCCGCCGCCTCTCGCTCGCTCGCTCGCCTCGCTCCTTCTCCGGCCAGCGGCGTGACCTCACGCCCGCGCCCGGGCCAATCAGGTGCCGCCGGGCGGGCCGCGCTCCTCTCTGCCGTCACTTCCGGCGGCCTCGGACATGGGGGTCCGTTACTATGGGAACTGGCCTCCTTTCCGGCCCTCAAGCCGGAAGTGGGCCTTGGGGATGTAAACAGAAGCGGCCAGCACCCTCCCCCCCCTTTTTTTTTCTTAAAGAGGGGCACTGGTCGGGGTTCTGGGAACGTTACAACGCTGCAGTCCAAAAATTATATACAATGCAATAAAATTAAGACTCTTTCCCACCCTCTGGGGTTGTTGATTGGGCTTTGCAGCCATGTGCTGGCATTAAGAGTAATGGTATTCATAGCAATGTAGAGGAAAGCTAAAAATAGTAATAATAAAGATAACCAAAAAAAAATTAAGAACTGCAAAGAATGCTATGGCGCCTCGGAGATTCACACTTTACAAAAAGTTGCAATTGCACCAATATTTTAAAAAAACAACACACACACAGCTTGCCCGTCGGCTGTAGAGGTGGCTGCCTTGCAATCGGGTCTTGCAACTTCACAAAATCGTGATAACATTTGAGCTCAGTAGTTCAAGCCCCGATTGCAACCCGTTGCCCCCCCCACACCCGCCCCCTTTCTGACAGCTTCTGTTGTTACCAGGGGGCTGCTCTGAGCAATGCAGGCAGAAGAAGGAAAAGCAGTAGGGCTGCCATTGCCATGATCTGCTTTCCAAAAAAAGGAGATGGGAGCTCCAGCCGGATTAGATAGTTTCCTCCCCACCACCACCACCACCTCCCGCGGGTCTGGACCTAATCCTGGAAGAACATGTCACACGTGCATCATCATAACTCTGGAACCTAAATGCCCAACGTCCCAAAGGGAGCTCCAAATGGCATGCATCATCCCTCTCGATCCCTATTTGTGTGTTGGGCGTTTTGTTTGTTTTGCATGGGTGCGCGTGCATTCTTACAACCAGCACAGCACCGGGGGGGGGGGAGAGGACATATCGGGGAAATCTGCCACCCTTTCTAGCTCTGAGCCTGCCTCGGGCGGCCACTGGGGTTATGCCCACCGCAGGTCGTGCGCACGCTTGCGGGAACCCGGAGGCGGGGACGGCGGCGACGCGCCTGGGGTTTTGCTCGCTTCCCCTCCGCCCGGTTCCTCCTCCTCTTCGCCTTCCTCCTCCTCGCCTGGGGAAAGAAAGAGGACCGTCGCGGGGCCGGACTTAACGGGCTGCAAAAGCCGGCTCGGAGTTGAGCTGACATTGACAGCCCCGAGGCGCAATTGACAGACCCGGCGCGCAAGGGCGCTGGCCATCCTGGGGGGATAAAGGGACGCCGCCTCTCCCCCTCTGTCCTTGCAGGCGCCTGCCTTTTTTGCAAGAGCCCCAAACAAGCCCTCTCCTCCCTTTGCACCCAGTTGTCCTCCTCGCCCTTCTCTCTCTCCCCCCCCTTTCTCTTTTGACCCAGATGCCCGGGTCTCCATCCTCACCGGCTTGCCCTCTCCCTCTCGCCCCCTTCCTCCTCCTCCTCCTCCTCCTCCTCCTCCCTGGCAGGGCAACCGGGGCGCAACCCCATTGAGTCCGAGGGGGATCCCTCTCGGGTATAAGAGGGGAGGGATCATCGCAGCCCTCTCGCTTTGCTGCCAAAGAACCTCAGGCTGCAGAACGGCAAAAGCCCGCAGCAGCAATAATAGCAATAATAATAATAAGGAAATCCCCGGACTCGTTTGACCTCATCCCGTCCTCAGGACTCCCTGCATTGCAGAGAAGCTGGCCCGCGATGCAGCTAGGGGGGAGGCGGGCGCGCCGGCTGGTTTGCAATCGGGCCCGATCCCCGGATCGCGTCCCCGTCCAGCCTTCCTAGAAGAGCCTTTCTCTCTCTCTCTGCCATGATCTTCTCCGGCAGCGGCTTCTTGCCCCCGCCGCCGCTGCCGGCGCGGAGAGGCTGCGCGCCCTTCCTGGCCCTGGCGGGGATGGCGGGGTGCCTGGGTGGGGGGCAGCCCCGGAGGAGCCGCAGCGGGGCCCCCTCCCGGCGCCTGCGGGTCCTGGTGGACATGGACGGGGTGCTGGCCGACTTCGAAGGCGGCTTCCTCAAGAAGTTCCGCGCCAGGTACCCGGGCCAGCCTTACATCGCCCTGGAGGATCGCCGGGGCTTCTGGGTTTCCGAGCAATACGGGCAGCTGGCCCCCGAGCTGAGCGTGAGTTCGAGTTCTCCTCCTCCTCCTCCTCCTCGGTTGCCTTTCCCAAGGGGGCTCTGCCCCGAGGGGCCTGCAAGGAAGGGCAAAAAGAAGGGAAGGACAAGGGGTGGTGGGGTGGCGTGGAATGACTCGCCTTTGGAGGTGCTTTCCAGCGGCTCATGCGCCCCGCTTTTTGTCTTCACAACCGCCCTAGAAGGTAGGTCAGTTGGAAGGGGAAAGGCTGGAAAAGGGAAAGGCTCTCTCCCTTATCCTTGGCCAGGTTGGAACCCAGGTTTAAGGTCCACTTCGGAAGCTGCTTGGCAAACTGGGCTTCAGTGCTTGCAAAGGGATGGTGTGGGTTTTCCTAGCATCCCTGGCCACTAGAGATGGGGGATCATTGCCTGTGATTCGCATTCGTATATTCAAATGCAAATATCCCCTTTTCTATTCGCCACCTCGCAGATGATGAGCTTTGACTATGGTATCCCGGTGACAAGCAGAAAGTTCTCTCTTTTATTTAATGAATGATTCCTTGGATGCCATTGGCTTGGTTGCTGTGACATCACGGAAGCAGCAAGAGATGCCTGCACCTATTTGCTGGTTACGGACTTAGCTTTTCTAAGGGCACAGTGATGCTGGGCACATGGCAGGCAGTAATCAAATTAAACTACGTAAGAATTATAGAACTTTTGTAGCAGAAGGCAGAAGTGTTTGAAGAAGACCTCGGTGCAAAAAAATGATTGAATGGTTCTGGAGTGTTAGGAAGCTTCCCTTTGTACTGAAACCAAGAGATGATATTTATAATTTCTGGTACAAGACTGTGTGTTATCTACTGATGGTTCGTGTAATGACAGTGGTTGGTATCCAGTAGTAAGTCTCAGCTGGAGCAGGCCCATTGAATTGATGGAGCCACTGATTCAATGGGCCTGCTCTAGTTGCAACTCACTACTGGATCCCAGCCAATGCATTTCAATGCACTCTGCTGCTGTTCAATTAACTCAGTCAAGTTATACTTCATACTGGCAGTGAGAAGGACTGCCTGAAAGGGCTGAGCAGGAAGAAGCAGACGCCTTAGTGACATTTCTTCAAAGTCCTTGACACAATTCAATTGTCCTGACAAAGCAATGAGATAGAAAAATAATGAGGAGATACCCCTGTTATGACCTGCATGCATTTATTCTGGATTTGTTTTACCCGCCCAGTACTCAGAACAGCTAGGCATTCAGCTAATCTTCTCAAAATCCAAGTGAAGACTGTTGGGGGGGGGGAGAGGGTAGAAACTTCTTCAGAATCCTGTCTGCTGTTTTTCTGCATCTAGGAATGCAATTTGACAAGCTGAGAGAGTTTCCAGTGTTGTGAATGCAGTGGATTGTTGTCTTTTTTTTTCCTTTTCAAAATCATAGTTTGCTGCCTTTACAAGGCAACGTCCTTAGGTCTTTGTTCAAAGTGTAAAGTACAGGCTGTTTGAACAGCACTGCAGTTCCGGGGTGCCACAACACCCTGTGTTCAGCCTGTTTATTGACTGCTTTTAATATCTTTTGAAGCAGGAAAAAATGAAATTTGAGATAAGAGATGGTGCCAAGGCATATGCAAAACAACCATACAGACCCAGGCAGAGTAAACTTTTTCCTTCCTTCCGTCCTTCCGTCCTTCCTTCCGTCCTTCCTTCCTTCTTTCCCTTCCTCCCTCCGTTTCTCGCTACCTCTCTCCCTCCTTCCTTCCTTCCTTCCATCTTTCATTCCTTCCTTTCTTCATTCAATTCTTCCTTCCTTCCGTCCATCCTTCCTTAATTCCTTCCTCCTTCATTTCTTCTTTCCTTTGTGCTTTCATTACTTTGCTTGCTTGCTTGCTTGCTTGCTTGCTTGCTTGCTTGCTTGCTTGCTTGCTTGCTTGCTTGCTTGCTTGCTTGCTTGCTTGCTTGCTTGCTTGCTTGCTTGCTTGCTTGCTTGCTTGCTTGCTTGCTTGCTTGCTTGCTTGCTTGCTTGCTTGCTTGCTTGCTTGCTTGCTTGCTTGCTTGCTTGCTTGCTTGCTTGCTTGCTTGCTTGCTTGCTTGCTTGCTTGCTTGCTT